TATCCGCATAACTATATTTCATGAATATTTTATATTGATTCTGTTCCAAGCATTCTGTTCAATATGTGTATATATTTGTTTTGAATCTCCTGTTAATATTATGGATAAATATTGTATCAACGTTTGATTGATATAAACATGAATATCATCCCTCAATACCTTAGCATACCGATATTTCATACGGAATATATATTTCTTGGCGATATGTTTGAGATATTGTCAATAAATAACCCGTCCATATTCCTACCCAATGTCTGAGTTACTATATAGTATGAATATAAGATACTGATATAATTTGAAGCATTCTTTTGAATATGTGTCGATATTTTTTTTTAATTAGTCTCAACATCAGTCATGAATGCAATAACAAGATTATTTCTCATTATTGATCTATATTTGGTGTCAATATTTATAATATATCACTACGTGGTGATGCCAAGAATATTGTTCATCTTCAACCTACTATATTGTTGGTCAATATCGATGAGCCATCAGTTACATATATACAGATGATGAATGATTCTCAATCAACGCACTTCATTGTTTTTTTCATATCAACAAATCAATATTATAGGATGATTATAAATCAATATTATTTCAGATATTTTGTCGAATGATTTAACAATCTTTTTATGAAACATCGAATCAATATCGATCTACAATAGCATGTTGAATGTTTGGATCCAATATTGTGCCTACTTGATTTCTCGATATTGCGCCAATTTTTCATCTATATTGGTCGAATATCGGCCCAATATGAGTGTGCTACTTGGGCTGTGTGTTTTCAAATCACTGTTTTGTGTTTTTTTGCACTTCGCGCTGAGCCATTTGGCATTTGGTTGGCAAAATAATAATTCCCAGTTTACCATCGTTATCTGTGCGTCACTAGTTATCAGGTTTAGGTACCTATTCACAATTCAGTTCAGTTTATGACGGGCGACGGTGAGAAACGTCCAACCGACGTCATGTGTACACGGTGTATATTTAGAATTCCCTCTCTTTTTGCTGAGCTGTGGCCTGTGGCACTTACGGTGTGTGGTGTATTCCTGTTCACGATTCCATTGGAAATTGGAAGGAAAATGGAATACAATCTGTTATTATTAGAATGGGGCCTTGATTTAATTGATATAAAACTATTAAGTTGCCAGAATAACTAAATTATATTTCAAATGTTACTAAATCACTTTTAATAGTAACTAGGTTCCATTTCAATCACAATTAAATATTTAATTTGCAACAACACACTCACTATTAACGTCAGAAGAAATGAGTAATTGCCCCAACTGGGATAATTTGTTGTGATAACAAACATATATTGAAACAGTACTAACAATCTAATTGTCATAACTATGTATCTTGATTGTGGCAAATAAAACTTGGTATCATTCCTTAAAAAGGCTTATTAGTTACCACAACAACGTCGTAGATGACTCAACTAAACTTTTCATTAGAGGCAAATAGGCGTTTCCAGAAAAACAGAATTAGTTATGGCAACAACTAATGCTTGCTGTCCCCTATCGTACTAAAAGATTTTTCTGTAGTTACTAATTTTTTAGTAACGGCTACAAATTTTTTCCCTCAGTGTAGCTGCGATAGTGACTTTGAAAATGTCCATACGAAATTTACAATGTTACAGTTAGTAGGTATAGGTATTCTGTTCAAATTTCAGTATATGATGCAAATGAGAATTAATAAAGAAGAAATTGTATTCTACAAAGAAATATAAATGCTAGATACACTATAAAGTCATCTCATCATCAGAATTATCAGTATCTGAACATGCATTTCAAGACAATTTGTGGAAATGAAAAAAAGGGGACAACAATAATATTATTAAATGTGAATCGACATTATTTTTACAATTATTGATGGAGGGCAAAGTGTTCATGGCCCAAAGGGCTTTATGAAGGGTACCAACACTTTCGTTTGTTAATAACTTGGATAACCAACTGATGTTAGACTATCGATAGTCCGAAACAGTTCAGTTACTGATAATTCTGATAATAGATTTGTGGAGATGACTTAGTGTGTCTTGCATATGAATTTACACTCACTTCCAAAAAAAGTAACGCACTTGATATTTGACCTATCTTCTTAAAAAACAAAACAAACAATAGTAGGCCGATTCTTATTTTTTTTAATTGTTGGTAGGTGATACATTTGTCTTTAAAATAAAATAAAGGGGTGAAAATTTTTTCAAAGCCTCCTTGATGGTGGTGGAATAACTCAAACCATGATTTATTCTTAATTTTTGACTCACCCTGTGTGTTAACTGAGTAATCGCATAAAAAGTGCTTGCACCCTATACGAAAGAGTCTTCTTATGCGAGCATTTTGTTATTCTATTCATTGATTTATCTCTGAAATTTTCCGAATCACAGCTTTTTTTGCTGAATCCTTGCAGATTACCAACTTTCTGAATTTATCGAGAAACAGTTTTCTAATGAAATAAACTGATACCAATAATTTTAAAAAACATTTTTATTAAACACAAAATTATAAATTGGGATGACTGCTTAATACCGTGTATGTCCTCCTCTACCAACTCTAAGAACTTCTAATCTAAGAGGCATACTGGAAATTAAGTTGCTTATCGTTTCCATTGGTATACGATCCCATTCTTCCACTAATGCATCTGCCATTTCTGCGAGACTTTCCGAAGACCTCTCGCGAGAACGTACCCTTCTCCCTAATTCATCCCACAAATTTTCTATAGGATTCATATCGGGGCTTCTCGCAGGCCATTGTAATGTGGTAATACCAGTAGATCCTAAGAAGTTTCGCACTATTGCTGCGGTGTGTGGTCGGGCATTATCCTGCATCAATATAAAATTATTGCCCACTATCTCTGCATAAGGTGAGACATACTGCTCTAAAATGTCAATGTAAATTTGGGCATTCATCGACTGCCTCACCGGAAAAACATGAAGGGGTGTCTTTCCATTCATTGAAATCCCTCCCCACACCATAACGGACCCACCATTAAAACTTTCGCATTCTGTTATTAAATTTTGATTAAACCGTTCACCAGTTCTTCTCCACAATCTTTTTTTTTTCATCCACCATGTTAAGGCAAAACCTTGACTCATCCGTAAACGAGACATTCCACCATTCAGGAATATTCCACTGTCCATAATTTTCAACAAAATTTAGCAGCACGATGTTCGGGCAATAATTTGGGACCTTTTGCAGGTCTCCTAGCTTTTGAATTAATTTCTTTTAGACGTCTACATACCGTCTGCTTACTTACTGCAACATCACGAATTTGGCGAAGATCTTGCTGAACATTTACCGCAGTATTTGATCGATTCCGTGAAATCCGCAATCTCAAGAAGCGATCATCTCTTGGAGAAGTTTTTCGGGGGCGACCAGAACCGACCCTCCGAGCGGTGCTTCCTGTTTGTTCGTACATGCGGATTGCTCTACGAGCAGTTGCTTCATGAACTCCCACTGCACGAGCGGCGTAACGTTTACTACGCCCATCGTTTACTAACGCAACTAATCTTGCTACCTGTTCAGGATTTATTTGAGGCATTTTATGTAATTTTAGTCAATAAAACAAGACACTTAATTAATGACACAACGACAAATGACCAAATATGGAGGCATACAACAAATTAGTTGCTATGGCAACGGCATTTGTTTTTTTCAAAGACAATGTGATCCTACCAGAGTACAACTCAATCAATTTTGAGTACTCTGATCCTTCAATAAATTCAATTTGTGAGAGAAGCGTGAGGTATCAGCAAAAAACCTGTAGTTCGGAAAATTTTAGAGATAAATCAATGAATAAAAAAACAAAATGCTCGCAAAAAAAGTCTCTTTCGTTTAGGGTGTAAGCACCTTGTATACCATTACTCAATTAACACACAGAGTGAGTCAAAAATTAAGAATAAATCATGGTTCGAGTTATTCCGCCACCATCAAGGAGGCTTTGAAAAAAGTTCCACCTCTTTCTTTTTTTTTCAAAGACGAATGCATTACCTACCAACAAATAAAAAAAAATAAACATCGGCCTACTATTTTTTTTTTTTTCAAAAAGATAGGTCAAATATCAAGCGCGTCACTTTTTTTGGAACTGAGTGTATTCACCCCAATATTTCTCTATAGATATTTCGAGTATCATCAGTATGCAAATATGTTGATGATGAATGAAGACATCATTATTATCATTATTATTATTTTTAAATACATATTATTCCAGTCACGCCTCTGCGGCCTCCGACGCCACGCAGAGCCATGCTGGATAAGATCCAGTGACTACTCCCCACAACCTGTGGGGTGAATAATCACTGGGAACAAGAAATGTGTGCCCTGAGAAAACGCAATGATCCAAGTATAATTATTATTTTCATTATCATTTTTACTATTATTATTATTATAATCAAAAACTATTGTGCTAAGAAGGGCTCACACTTCAATCCGAAGCATAATGAAGCTAATTTCAACCACGTTGAGAAGTATAGAGTGAAAGAGTAACATTGGTTTTTCCCTGTATAATCAAGTCATCAGCTTTTAAGGAAAACTGATATTTAGGCCAACATTCCGGAACATATGAATCTGCGATTTGATCGGGATTTCACAAAAATCGGACAAGAATTGAAAGGCTGAACAATTTGGGCAAAATTTCTGGTGACTATATCTTTTTTTCAATTCTCATTTGTGTTGAATATTAAGAAGCAATGATTGTGCTGTGGCATTGGAAATTTCGTGAGGTACAGTTTCAAATTCACTAGCGTTGCTGCTTTCCATAGTTTATTTCAATGATTGCTACCAAAAACCATGTAAACTTTCAGAAATTAAAATTTCACCTAATTTTATTTCAAATAGCTGTTAGTCATTATTTCGCTGCTATGGTAACGATTAACTGCATTTATTAAAACCATACCTACCAAGATTTTCATATTCACAGTGATAACAACTCTGTGATTCTTGATGGCCCATTCCGGCACAAAGAATAAGCGTCCGAGAAGTGGATACTTTAAAAAAAATGCTACTTACATCTATTGGTCCATGTGGTCCTCTCCATTGAAAATCGATTGTTATTTCTGAGTATACGCTGCATGTCAAGCTAAGATTTTTTCCAACTGTCGTATGTCCATTATTATTATCTTTTATGAATGGGGTAGCTATCGAGGATTTGCTCTCTATAATGAAATATCAAACACAGACTTAGGAGATCCATGATTTTTGGAATGATTTTGCAAATAATGAATTTCTACCAAAGTTTTTTTGATGGATATTATTTATATGAACATGACATGAATGTGCAGAGCAGTGGTTATTCATATATATCATAGATACTATGAACAGGGTGAATATGAAAGTGAGGTTTTTTTTTCAACAAGATATATATCTCATCAAAATAAGTTGTTCGGCAAAATATTGCTCTTATAAAATATTTGAGATAACGGAGGTACAGGTATAATATAAAGGTTTAAAAAAGACTCCACCAAATATTTTGTTTACATTTTCTCAAAAAAACGCAACAGTTGCATTATTGCACTAGAAACATTAATCAAAAACCTTTTTTAACATTTTCAACCTATCAATTTATGTTTTCAAGTTATTTTTTCGTAATATTTCTTTATTTCATCTAATTAGATGATTAGATTGATAAATTTGATTTCCAATGTACAAAACCTTGAAATGAATGGTACCTCCGATATCTTACATATTTCTCCTAAACAATTTTTGGCCACACAACTTATTTTGGCTGTTTTTGGCCCTGTTGAATAAAAAATCTCACTTTCAGATTCACCCTGTATAGTCGATTATTCAATGTCCCTTCATGAACAAAATAATCAAATTGAATGTGAAATATTTTTACCTAGTGAATTTTCCAGACTATTTTATTTAATTAGTTCCTTCCAAACATTTGAATTAAAAAAAAATTGAATCATTTTCACAGGAAGGAGATAGAGCTGGTCTATTTCTCAAAAAAATCCTCACTATCACTGAGGAGTACATTTCTACTCAAGCGAGTACTCTGATCATTAGTAAGTAACTGATTATATACTGTAGGCTTTTTGCTACAATGCATTGAATGCAATCAATCATTGAAAAAGTACCTGATTATTTTTATCAGGAAGTGTACTTTGTGGGGAATACAGCATATTATATCCAAGCATAATGGTGTCAAAATCCGCATATCACCTACATATTGGTTACAATTTATGAACAATTGTCAGATGAACAGTGCACTAAGAAGATTAATCTACAAATAAATAATTGTGGTTTCTTGATTTTTCCGCTTTTACAGATGTACACATATATTGTTATCAGATGATGTTTACATCCTACAAAACAACCACAAGCAACAAAATACAATACCAAGTAACTTCCCATGCCAGTTCTAATGAATCATAAATCGATGAAGTGAGTATTCTATATGAATGCAATTCCAAACACTGCATAATAATCCAGTCATTTGGTGAAAAAAAGCAGAGTGGATTCAGGAAAAAATTGCTAAAGAATTTTTCTCGACGTATCTATATGGTTTTTGTGGTGCTGAACCACGAAAATCGCAATAAACCATGAAAATGTTGGGACTTATTCTGATTTTTTGCTGATAACTCCGAAACGACGTGATATAGAGAAAAAATACTCCACACAGAAATTAAAGCCTATAAAATTTATCGTAGAACAAGATCAAAATTGGCTCGATATCTTGTTTGATTCAGCCGCTAGAGCGCCCTGAAAATTGACAATAGTTTTTAAGTTGCCCAAAATATTCGTATTTCGGATTATAAATTAGTACACATCGCCAGGCTAGTGTTTCCGCCTAGTGTGTCTGACCATAGAATATTCTGATCCTCTTTCCTCAACATTTATTTTTATGCCTATGAGAGAGTTAAAATGCCGAACGATAATAATTATTGTACACTTTGTGATAAGCCGCTGGACGATGAAACCGAAATTGTGAGTGTGCAGAGAGGGTTTAAACGTTTGAAGCCATTGTAAAAGCTAGAGTCCCTGTATATACTTTAGACAAGAGTCCGGACACAAAACTGACAGCCGTTGGAGTTTTTAATATTTTGTTTCATTTGGTTTGCCCACCTGACAATGTGACGAAACACCATAGTCGTCTCGCCCACTTTCTTTAATTATTTCGAATTTCTGTCACTGTCACTTTGAAATTTTATGACCGCCAAAATTTTGCATTTTAAATTATTTCAATGTCCTGCTGCGTACATTATTGCGCTAATTCATTAGAAAAGGGAGTTATTCAATTTTCCGAATGATCCTTTAAAGATAATGTCATGGAAGAATGCAATGAAACGTCCAGAATGGAAAATTATTTTCAAGAAATCCGCAATATGTGAGGTAAATATTCGAATTCACTTGTAGTACAAAAAAGATGAATTTTCGGCCCATTTTGATAGAGATTCTTTCAAGCTGATGGATTTCAAATTGAAAGAATCTGCTGTGCCGTCAATCTTTTCAAAAAAAGAGTTCCGTCGGCATCGTATTGGGAATTACTGAATAATAGGATCGCAGAGAAAGAAAATGAGAATGAGATGATGCGGAGAGAAATTGAAAGTTTGAAATCAAAACTAGAAGATTTAGGGAAATTGCAATGTGCTATGTCATCAGTCCACGGTGTTTTTAAATCAGATCAAATTAAAAAATTTACTGGTGAATGTAGACTGCAGGAAGAGGTGGGAAACCGACACAATTAAAATTATATCGAAACAATCATATATCTTCTATTTTTTTAAATCCCAACAGAAAACAACTATATTTTCTTGGCTATATGTGATACCACGTAGAACACTTAAATCATCTTTCTTATATTTAATGAAGGAAAGGAATATCTTAGGAATTGATTACGAAAATTATCGATTCGAAATTTGAACACCCTGTTGTTCATTATTTGAAAATCTAATAGTTATTCTAGTTAAAATAGCCCTATTTATCACTTCTACCTACGGCTATGAACGGTTTGACAAATAATCTAACCCTCAAAATTGTTTCTGACAATCATTGATACTAGGGGAATTGAAAAGACAGAGCTCGATATATATGTCTTATTCCTTTATATAATCATCAATGCATTTTTTGCAAACAGAAAAGGACAGAAGTATAGTTGTGTCCGGACTCTTGTCTAAGGTATATACAGGGACTCTAGTAAAAGCTAGCGTGAGGAGGAAAGACGGTAAAGATTATATGTATGTATGTATGTATGTATGTGTGTGGGCGGTCAGGTCGACCTGACGCACTTTGGCCTCCCTCTTCGGGCCCAACTTTCTAGGCCAAATCTTTTTAACATCCTCTGGATCCAGGATACTGCCCCCAAAATGGAGCAAGGGATTGCTGCCACTACTGCCGGGCATTCAGTGAGGATGTGAGTAGAAGTCTCTTCATCCTCTAGGCACCATCTGCATCCAGGATCCCCCACAATCCCGATCGTGCTTGTTCAAGTGGCAGTGCCCTGTCAGAAGGCCCACCACCAGTATCAGCTCCTTCCTGTTCAAAGCCAAGATGGCATTGGTCTGTCTTCGTGACGGGTTTCCTATATGGAGTTTGGACTGCCTCCATTCCAGGAGCCTCTCTCCAGCTGCCCTGAAACCTTTCCGTCAGGATTTCGTTCATCCTGAAGTTGCTCCAGGATCGAGTAACCCTCAATGATTGTCTCTGGACCAATCACTGAACCCTTCGCCACCTTTCTGGCCAGACCATCGGCCATTTCGTTACCTGGTACCCCTGAGTGCCCAGGAACCCACAAAAGACATACTTTGTTCGTTGCTAACAGCCTTTGTAGGCTATCTATGCACTCTGATACCAAGGCGGAGGTACCCTATACGAGGTGAGCGCCTTGATCGCCACCTGGCTGTCAGTGCATATAGTGATTTGCTGGCTGTGACTGGCTGTGGCTCGATATTCTCTCGAACACATACGAGTATTGCAAATACATAGCCTGAAAAATCGTGGCATGTTTCCTAAGGGTATAGTAATGATTTGCCATCTGTATACCAGATGATGCCCTTGGTGGGTATTATGCAGTGCCCATTCTGTTTCCAGTCTATCCTAGTAGGAATTTTGACTTGGGGCATTTTCCTGAATCGAATGATCGGTGTTATGCTGTCCTCTTTCATACTGATTCAGGGGTAGTCATCTGATGATATATTCGAGAGATCAAACTCTCTCACAGTTCATGTTTCATGCAGGAAACAATACGAATATTACGAATATAGTTGCTGCTGATAAAAAGGCTAAAGAGGGCAATCCTCCTGCGCAATCACGATCAGCTGAACATATTTTCGCATTTCGAACTCATTGTTACCTGTGTGGTAAATAAATTCCGAAGAACTATGCTGCGTAACAAAAAGAGTTGACTTCATCTGCACGTGACCCTGTCTATCAGGTGAGAACGATGAATGGTATTCAACATGCCAGTACTTTGAATTATGATTATTCCCGAGCCGTTGAACACCGTTTAGGACCTATTAAAGATCTTGTTGCGGCTGGTGGTCAATACCATCGTTCTTAATTTTTATCCATATAACCATGGGTGTCTTTCACAATCAGACCTATATTATGACTTCAGGCCCAATCAACGAAGGGCACAGATTCCGTGGACAGACAGGCTTTGAAAGTCTGAAATACGAATATTTTGAATAACTTGAGAAGCATTCAATCTTCAGCGCGCTCTGGCGATTGAACCAGATAGGTTAGTGAGCTGATTATCATCTTATTTTTTTTGTAAATTTTATTTGCTCTCATTTTTATCTGCACTGATTTTTTCCTATATCAAGTCGTTTCGGAGTTATGAGCGAAAAACTAAAACAACTCCTGATTTTTCATAATTTTCTGCCATTTTCATGGTGAAGCCATATTCAAATCTAGTCGATAACTGAATTTCCAGATTCAACATCCCAAAAGACATATGGATCTCTTGAGAAAGATGCTTTTCTTTTCCTGTCCAAACTACCAAATGATTGGACTACAAACCCTATCACATTCCTTAGACGAGCCGATATAAGTCTATTCACTTAGATCAATATTGTTCAATTCAGATGCTAAATGCTCGGTATTCAAAATCATCGAGAACGTTCATTTTATTGTACCTATATGTTGAATAGAAACACGAAATGAAGAATTGTTCAACCTGACAAGAATGAGTCAAAATATTGATAGATGAGGA